TGAATCACAATGATAATAATTGAATCATCCTGTATGAATTGTGACTGAAAAATTAAATTTACTAATATTAAAATACGATATTATAAACGATCCTGACAAAAATACAGTTTCTGTTATTTTATAATTAAAAATGTTAAACCATAAGTTCATTTTCTATGTGTTTCACAAATTTTGTCTATTTACATGTGTCGCATATACATATGTGGTTACGAAAGGTAATTCGATTGATTGCTATTAAAAATTTAATTAATTTATTGATAAAATTTTGCAAACTTCAAAAACAATGTTGTATAATTTTATTATTGAATAAAAGATTGTTGAACTATAATTCTAAATTAAATAGAATGAAAAGCAGTTTTTACTGAGAATTACTGGAAAATATTAAAAATGGGTAATAAAAAAAAACTTATAAACAAAGGGATACTTAATTCAAGTTTAAATACAGTTTTAATAAAATAAGCTAGCGAGGTAGTTTTTAATTAGATCTTTGAAATTAAAATTTCATTTATCGTAAACTAAATATAGATCTTTAATTAAAACGTGGTTGAGATAATCGATTTTATTTAAATATTGCAAATTATATAAAAAATTTATGAAACATTGCACTTAACTTCATTAATAATAATATTGTTAACAAAATATTTTCACAAATGCATACGTCCTGCGGCTTCGTACAATTAAAGTTTTTAATTAACATTTAATTCATAATACTAAACGAGGATACGTCAGATATATTTGTGGTTGGCTACCTTTTAAATAAAATTGAATGCACGAGTAGCAAAAAAAAAAAAAATGATATATTGACAAAGCCGTATTTTCTAAAATAGCATATTTTCATCTAATAATTTACACCTACACCTAGTATTTTACGATGCTTCGAATGCGTGTCTACTATTAAAATAAATCTCTAATTATCATAAATTTGGGAGAAATTTTGAAATAATTATTTTCGCAATGTTTACATTTTTAATTTACTTAAGGTAAAAGGGTAAAAATTTTGATTAAGAAGACGATCACTGTTATATATTTGCTCTTATGGAAGTTCGATAATGCTTGTTGTGTCGAAAATATATATAGGTGACAGAAAATACGGAGGGGGGATACGGAAAATTTTAATTTTACAGAAATATTCTGGAGAATAGGAAGACAGAGTTTAATAACAGAAACATTTTTTTTTAAATTATTTTTGGAAATGTGCTGGAAAGGAGAAAATAAAAAAAATTAATATTAAAAAGCGAGGTTTCAAGTTTAATGACCTACTTTTGATGCTAATTTTTCACTTTGAATTTTTTAGAAAAAAAGGTCTAAATTTCAAAAATAATAAAAAATTAGAAAGTTTTTTTCTAATATTTTATTAAAGAAATCTTAAAGCTTTGAATTGTAAGAATAAAAACAAGTTTGGGTTTTTACGAAACGTGAAAGAATTGCTGCCAAACAAAAAAATTATTTTGCATAATTTTGAAATTTGCAAAAATAAATCAAAAAAAAATTTTTCTTGATTTATGTTTTGTTTTCTTTACTCTATACCTTTGTATGTATGTCGCATGTAAATGAGTTTTGTATTTTTGAAACGAAATGATTTATTTAGCTGTTCTACAAATAAAATGATCTTGTTATGTTCGCTATTAAGGTTTCTGAACCAGAGTTTCATCACTGATCTTCAAACTTGACCATTTTTCTAAAACTAGCAAACTTTTCAGCAAAATTGAACTCCTGATAGTAAATCTCTACAAAAAGCATAATTAATAAATACATTCTTGAAGTTTTTGAAATTCTTTGCAAACCTATTTTGTTAGCAATTTCCAAACTTTATAAATTTTTAATTTAGAAAATATACAATGACTCATGCACTGAATTAATGATGAATGCATTAAATTTCCAGCCTCTATACGAGGAGTCTTTGCATATTGTTTTTAAACAAATTGGCTTGTTCTAAAACAAATTTTCCCGTGCAGCTTCTATTCTAGATTAATTAAAACCATAAAATATTTATTTTAGGTAATTCATAATCATTAATCAATATTTAAGAGCCATAAAAATTTTATCAAATATAAGATTTTGGCAACCCATTTTCAATACGCACTTCAAATAAATATGACCAAGTAATTGTTCTGGTCTATGCAAGAACAATTGTTTTTTAAATTACAAAATTGTTTACTGAATTTTTGCAAGACTTTCTATATTACTGACTAATATAAAGTTTTAGATTTTAATATCAATAAACTCTAGTTTGCTTCTTTTTCTGGTTTGTTCCTTTGTATATGTATTTGGTTTATGAAAAAGAAAAATCAATAATTTTAATAGTAATCAAGATTTTTTCTTCCCACTTCATTTTTCATTTTGAGGATTTTTTATAACAATATTCTTCATTTCAGGAAATAGAAATATTTTTAGTATAATGTGAGTTGTTGCAGAATCATCAGTTGGGGGAGTCAAAATCCATGGGGACTCCATGGAGCTTTTGGCTGAATAACATACAATAACATAAAACATGATTCATCTCATCCTTTTCATAGTAAAATTTGCACAAAATAATCTGCAATTAGTTAAAAATTGTTTAAATAGTATCTAAATTTGCATCGTCCAATACAAAAATCAAGCGTCTTGTCAATATTTCCACAAATTGTTTTCAATTTGGAAAGATAAGTTCTCCAAATACTTGACTTACTTTAACTAAATTTTACTAATCTAGATTTTTTAATTTGAAATAGAGAAAAGTAAAATAAAAGGAACCCAGTGGAAGGCTTGAACAAAAAGTTTCTGAATTTTAATCCATTAAATTTTATCAGTTCCATTAAACAATGAATTTGTATAAATTCCTTTATTGATTACTGTTTCCTCATTATAAAACTTAGTTGTTTTAAAGCTTAAATGAGTATTCAATAAAGATTTATGAGAAACACGATTGTATAAATTTTGCATATACCTTTTAATATACGGTTTCTCTCCTTCACTTAAAAATCGATTAGATAAAATCGATAATAAAACTATAGTGTACTAATTTGTTGATAAGAAAATTTTTGGAAGTATTTCAGTGCTCGTATATAATATAAACACAATAGCACATAACAATATTGTTCTTGATATCTTTGAACATCTAAAATAATGGTAATAATTATGTTAGATTATATAACAGATATTTTTTATTACCCAATAACCAAACCTTATTGATCTTTAATAATATTGTTAAAAAATTTTTTTTTCAATTTTTATCAATTTTTATTGAATTATTGCTCATAAGTCATATTCATTAAGCTTCAGCAAACTTTATTTTTTGACACATTTTGATAATAATTAAAATATTATAACAGTTATTGTGATTATGTAGTATTGATGAATTTTAATAGAGCTATTGTTGAGTGATAATGCAAAATTTACATTTTAATTTACTTAGAGAAAAATTATTGAAAATAGAAGTTGTTATATAATATTTACCAAGAACGAATAATGTTCAAAATTGCTAGATATTTTGAAAATATTTTTTTGGTTTGTTAAATGAGTTCTTAATGTTCAAACTATTTGGCAAGGCTATACTCCATTTTTTATATATCAAATAAAAAGAATATATTCGAGAGTGGATTGTAGAGGATAATACAAGTAAAGATAGCAATAATTAAGATTAAGTTAATATGTAATTTGACAATTCATTCGAATATTACATAAAATCTCGCATGAGAGTAAGTTTGTTTGATTAGAATTATAGACGGCGTTCAGTCTTCAGTTAAAAAGTTTACGTCTACATATTAAATTTGGTACTTAATGCTGCTAAAATCAATTTGAAGTAAGCACATATTTCATGAATAGTTGATCCTTAAAAACGTTGTGTAGTTGAATGAACGGACCCAAACTTTTTTTATCAGTTTTTTCAAATTTCATTTTATTTTTATTAATAACGATTTGGAATTTTTTTAATTAACTAAAAAAAAAAATTTTTAAGACAGATTATAAAACAATTTCACACCCAATTTAATTAACTTTGATTCTTCCACTTTATTCGTTTACGTCTTTATTACTGTTGTTAAAGGAATCTTTTAGTTTTACACGATGATCGGTATCTATTTTTAGTATTCAGCACGCGACACACCTGATTCGAACATATGACGCATTCAAACTGGAAAAGACGTTCATTTACGATCATAAATTTATTTGAAGTAACATTTGACATTTTGTGACGTATATTTTCATCGCGGCATTATAATAAAAAATCATGAAAATTTGTTACAAATAATTTTTTCCTTTAAGATGTAAAAATATTTTAATGTTTTGTAATTGGTTTTTAGGAAATAAACTTTTTTACAAATTATTAAGTTGAACGAGTTATGCGTGGGCATTAAGTTTTTAATCAAAATTTGTACTTGCCATACAACTCCAAAAGCTTATTTTAAATATTTGGAAAAATGATAGAGTCAGATTCATGAAACTTGGCAGTTGTGTGTCGAGTTATAGGTCAGATATATTTCTGAAGTTTTGGTTGAATTGCTCTACAGCTACGAGTAGTCCAAGAGTTTAAATATTTGGAAAAATAAAGTCAGATTCATGAAACTTGGCAGTTGTGTGTCCAGTTACATATCCGTGAAATTTCTATAGAATGGTTTTACAGGTTTGAGTAATTGCTATACAACAACGAAAGGTGCAGGGTATAATTCAATCGGTTTATACCGACTGAAACGTTTTTACTTGTTATTATTTCCTTTAAAGGAAGATTTTCGAGCTTTTTTTTTAGAATTTAGTTTACTACAACTGTGACGAATATTTTCATAAAGTTCTTCTTATTGTTGTAAGAATTCTTAAACAAAAATTATGAAAACAATAGTTGAATCTTTTAATTTCAGATTTGTTTTGTATGCTTCAATCAAAATGCAAACGCATTTTCATAAATTAAAAATCTTTCATACTTAAACAATTAAATTTAGTTATTGGACTCAAACATTTCAATCTGCAATCTGGACGATCTGCAAAGACTATTATTCAAGTTCAAAACTATCGCTGAGTCATTCAACATGAAAATATCCATTGAAAAAACCAAATGTATGACGATCGCCAAAGAACCGATTCGATGTAAACTATCGAGTGAAGATCAGTCAATTGAGCAGGTTATGAGCTTCAAATACCTTGGAGTCGAAATTACGAGCCATCGAGATAACAACAAGGAGACACAGGTTCAAACAGCAAAGGCCTCTGCAATATCGGGCTACCTTCGCGATGTCATATGGAAAAATAAATATATGCTAATTGAAAATAAGGTGCGTGTTTACAAAACTTGCGTGAGCCCCATAATGACATATGCAGCTGAAACAAGAGCAGACACGTCATCGACCAAACAAAGATTGCGAGCCACAGAAATGCAAACTCTTAGGCAGATCTGTGGATACACTTTGCTTGACAAAAAAAGAAGTGCAGATGTAAGAGAAGAATGCAAAATTCAAGATATTGTTCGATGGACTAGATGCAGACGGCGCTACTGGAGGGACCATGTGAACCGCATGAGCGAGAACCGACTACCCAAAATAGCCATGACCAACAAGCCCAACACCAAAAGACCCCCAGGCAGACCTCCTAAAAGGTGGCATGAGTGCTGGACCTTTACATCCCACGATCATGAAAATCCATAAAAGAGAATATTGGATAAAACAGGCAAATGTGCCTACAACAAGAAGAAGAAGAAGAAGAAGAAACATTTCAATTAAAAATAAAAATAATCTTTGACGAAAATTAGAATTTTGTTAATCGTTATTAAGCTCATACAATTGTAATACATCAAAGTAATTAAGATTGCATATTTCCTTAAACAAATATTTCGAAAAATTTATAAATTATTCATTAAAATTATGTGATAGCTTATGAATTTATGATATATGATCATTTAAAAATATTAGAGTTGAAAAGTTTATTTTTAAATTAATTTTAAGAAGATCTGCCCTACAAACATGTATGTAGGTCTGCTAATGTAAAAATAAATAAGAAAAAAATTTTATATTTAATCAAAGAAGACAAAATTATATTAAACTAGAAATGAACAATAAATTTTAAGATTTTCAACATTTTCTACGGGCAATGAAAAATTATAAACTTTTTCTTATAAAAAGTGTTGCCAAATATTAATATAAGTGAATTACAATAATGTAATAAATTTTATACACGTGTAAATTTAAATAAAAATTAATTTTTTGTCGAATTTTCAACAAGTGTAATACTTTGCTTAATATTATATATTGTATGTGTGTGGAGTATGTGTAAATATAACCGTATCGCACCCTTAAGTGCAAAATAAAATATTTTTCGATAGTACTAATTAATACTAGTACTAATAAATTTTTTTATTTTTTTTATGTCAAATTATATAATAGTTACGTCAGTATAATAGTTAATATGAAATTACCGATTCCAATTTTTAGGAAATTTCTTATTTCTCGAAAAAATAGAGCTAGTTAAATTATATTTCAATTAAAAATTAATAATAATTGCGCAAGTTTATAGTTACATATAAAATGTCGTACTGTATAATAATCACTGTTTGTGAAAGTTTTTATTCATTATTTTGTTTGTAAATACACATATTTGCGGAAGATTGATGTTCGTTTTAATGCACAAAATACTCATAGCCAAATAAGTGTGCATGAGTTATTTTAAAAAATTTCAAAACGATTGAAGCGGAGTACAAGTTTGAAGTTAGTTTTTGCTAAAATCATATTGCTATGATGTTATCAAGCTGCAAACCTGAGCTAGTGCACACATTAAAAATTTTTTTCTTTCTATTGAACATCATCCTCATACTAGCATGATAATACAAAAATTAAGAATTCACATAAAATTCAACATTAAAAATCTAGATTACATTAATATGATAAATTCAAGATTTCGTTGTTAAATCAATTGATTTTTATTATTATACTAGTCCACTTGTCTAACGGTAAAGGTGTCATTTTTATTACTATATGGACTTGTTATATGAAAACTTGTATACACATGTTTATGTTAGAGAACTTTCTCATATAGAAATAAGATTAGTAAATTAATTATATTTTCATATATAAATTTAATTAATTATTTTGTTTTATAAATTTAACTATACATATATTATGTATATGAATATGTTTTACATACCTTTATGTATTAATTATTTATGTATATTGTTTAGTCTTGTAATATATTAATTTGTGTATAGATTTAAAACAAACAAATTATAAAATAACTAAAATATAATTTTAATTTTTAAATTAATTTTTTTCTTATGTATGTATTGTATATATATGTATATATATTAATTTGTGGTATATATTATTTTTATATACTATACACTTTAATATTGAATAATATTAATAATCGTTTTGATTTTGAGTAAATATTCTATTCGAATTAATTAACAATTTTATTCAATTTTTTTTTTAATTTAATTACGTATTGAATTCATAATATTAAATACAAAATGTATAATATAATTTTTATAACAATATATTACAACACTTGTATATATTATTGTTTTTATTTTCATCTATGTACTCAGAACTTTGAATAATTGCAATTTAAAAAACGCATGGGCTTTAATATTTTGCATATAATAATAAAAATTATATAATTCGAAATTAATGCAAAATAATGCGAAAATATGAAAAACGAGATCACCTTCAGCGAAATATTTTCCAAAAAAAAAATGAATAGAAAAATCAAATATTTGATTTATTAAAATTAAAAAAAAAAATAAAATTTTAGATAAAATTATCAAAAGCCGAAAAAATATTTTTAAAATAAATTCACAATTTTAATTGCTTTTCAATTATGATTAAGTTTTTTATCAAAATGAAATTTACAAAATAAATTTCAATTTTTTTTTATATTATTAAATTTTTAATATTTTAATTTATTTGTTAATTTTGCAAGCACGTAATATGCAAATTCCGTTTTTTTTAACTATGATTTTTGTGTTTTGATTTGTTATACTGCGGTTTTTATGTGTATACCTTTTGTTAATTTGATTAAAATTATTATTAATTTTTTTTTTTTTGTTAAAAAATTATTAATTTTTAAATTCTTTTTAAATTTTTTCACTAAATTTTGTTTTTTACAAAATTATTATAAAAAATATGAGTGACAATTATTGAAATTAAAAAATATTTTTTAAAAGAATTTAAGATGAACCGTTATTGTATTCATAGGTACAATAGCAAAAGCGTTATAGCATACAATAAAAAAAATTCTGTGCTTTTTAGGCATAAAAGTGCAAATGGAAAGAAAAAAAAAACCAAAAAACGTTCAGGTTAAGTGCCCGCAAACGACTAAAAAACTTTTCTAGTTTGGTAGCGCTTTTTAAGAATTTTGTAAATTTTTTTGTTGTTGTTATTTTTGTTTTTCTTTTTTCACTTATTTTTCTTAATTTTTACTTTAATTTTTGTATTTTTACATTATTCTTGTTGTTATTTTTTTTTCCGTAAATCTCAGATTTTTAGCATTTTCTGTATGTATGCTAAGTGTGTATTGTGAATGAAAAATAACAAAACAGCAAAAATAAAGAATTGAAACGGTGCAAAGATCAGCAACGGTATAACAAAAACTTTTATTATTAAAAATTTATGTATGAATGTATGATTTTGGTATAATAATACCGTTAATATATTACATATACATACATATGTACACAGATCAGCAAAAACAATAAATTAACAGAATGAAAAAAAAAATCAAAAATTAAAATCGACAATTGAAAATGACGTTTTCATTATTTTGTTTTGTGTTTTTCTTATTGTTTTACTACTGAACGAAACGTTCTGAACGAAATGAAACGGAAAAGTGTTTTAACAGCTGTTGTTGTTTTTATTTTTATTTTTATTCTAAGTTTTTATTTTTATTTTTTTAATTTTTCAGTATTCACACATAGCAATGAGCTTTTCTTATTGTTATTGTTTTATTAAATTTATTGTTGACCTACCTGAAAATATTTTAATAATAACAAAAACAATAACAATTAAAAGTAAATAATGAGAAAAAGTAAATAAAAGCTTAAGAGAAAATATAGGGAAAATATTTTTCCCTTTATTCAAATGGAATTTTCCCCATATGGTTACTTGTAGGTATGAAGCGCTTACATATATGAAAATGATGTTGATTAATATTTTCAGTTGATGTTAAAAAATAATTTTAATAATAACGATATTTTGCAGAAGATGTTGCAGTAAGAGTTTTAGAACAAACGATCGATAACATTGCGATCAAGTCCAAATGTTCCTCATTAAAAATTGTAACTAAATTCAGTTACAGAACGAACTGCCTTTTCGATAATAATTGTTTGAATCCAAAAAAAAAAGATGCTTATTTAAAAATTTATGATAAGTCAACATGTTTTAGCCCAATACCTGGAAGCTTTATACGATAAAGAGTTTCTATAATAATAATTGTTTTGAATGACTTCATAGTTGTTAGATTTGAAAATTATTAAAGTAAGCTAATATAAAGTATAGAGGATTTTGATTTAAAACGACACTTATTTCACGTACTCACTCTAATGAGATTTTGAGAGAAAAGTATGTTACCTAGGAAGCACACTTTAAAAAAAATATTTCATTTATGTGTTAATGTTATTATTAAAAACAAATTATAGTTTTCTTATAAAACACTTACCAAAACATAGAAGAATCCTCATCCATTTTTTAACTTCCAGCGTATTGTTCAGCAATTATTGTCTTTATTACGATATTTTTAACTACACGAGTTTCTATCATCTACAATAATATGTACTTTTGATTTCAAATAATTATGTTGAACCATTAATAGAACCACATCACTTATTTGCGTCATATTTTGGAGTGTTAGCAATTTTATTACCCTCTTTCTTTTTTAACTTATGTCGCCGATATTAAATGTACATTAAATTATGATAAAATTAAAATTGTGAAAAATACATGGAACCAGTTTTAATGAAAAACCAAGTGTAATTTACAATATACAATAAAGATTTCGTATGACGTACATATTTTGAAATACAGTTAAGAAATCTAAAAATATAGAGTTAAATAAATAGATAAAAATAAATAACACAATTAAAAATGGTGGTCACTAAATGAACTTTGATAGAGAGAATTTTAAGAAATAAATATCTTTCAATATCAATATTTTACCGTTAAAGAAAAACTTACATGTCATAATTAACATCATGGAGAAGCACAGCATTCTTATCATAATTATATGGCTGATTCTGTGTTCTTTGTGATTGTTGCATTCTGCACAATACAATATCCATTCTATATACAATCTTGCATCTTTTCACTTCTCACTCTTATTAAGAGATTGTAAATCGTTAAAATTGTAATTAAATTTCCCCATCATTTCGGTTTCCGTTTGTTTATTGTAATCTGATTTTACATCAGGTTATTAATTACTTCTTTATCTACATATATTCCTTTCATATCGAAGCCATTGCAGCAAGCTGGAATAAAAAAAGGCAGATATAAATATTTGAATTAAATTCGAAAGGTAGGAATTTGAAAATCGTACACAAGTATTGGGGGTTTTCATTTATTCAGTTCTTGAATAGTTCTAGCTTGTAGCACGTTCGAATATTCACTCTACATACACTGAAATGATAGATCGTTCGGAAATCACTGGCTGTAATAAAGTGCGTTTGGAAATTCAATCTGCAATAAAGAAATGTTAGAAATGTAACCCAGATCTCTAGTATAAATTTTGTCACTGCCTCATGAAATTTCTCTTCCTTTTTATATTTAAAATTAAAAAAAAATTTCAAATTTCAAAATGGTAGATTTAGATATTGAAGGGTTATTAAAGTAAGTTTTTTTAAGTCTTCAAATCTTGTTAAAATTTCCTTATTTTGCAGTGAATTGGTAGGCGAAAAGTATTGGGATACGATTTCGTAAACAATGTCATTTCTGTTATTTTCGAACGACTGATTATTTAGAAATTTCAGAATTTGTAGACTAAGTAAACAAAAAAAACTTAGCTGAAGTTTTCGCATACTGTTTAATGCTGCGATTTAGAAATTTTAGTTCTAATGTAAAACTTTCAGTGCAGCGTGCATAAACGAAAACCCCCATACTGTAATACAAGCTCTTAATACAGAATGAATGCCCATAAATGCCCATAAAATAATTATTATTGAATAAACGCAGCATCATTCAATAATAATTATTTTTATAACTAAATTTCTTTTTATTTTATGTACGGTAATAAAAAGATCATATATTACCGTATACGATATCGAATAATTGTTTTCGATAATAACAATTATTTCACTTTAAGAATTACCGAAAATACATTTTTATGGCAATAATAAATATAATATTAATTAAATTTGTTTAAAATAAAATACTAATATTATAATTATTTTTTTAATAAACTTCCTTCGCATTTTAATTTTAATATGATCTAAGATCTTACATGATTTTTTGAATTTATGTCATTTTTATGAGGATTTTACGAAAAAACACACGATTACGAACAATATTTTTCAAAGATTATAGAATTAAATCGTGTTTAGAATTAAAAAATGAGTAGGTCGTTTTATTAAAAAAAGTTAGTCTTGGTTAACTTAGTCATCATTTCACTCTTTTTTTCGAAAAAATGTAAGTTATTTAAGGTACGTTTACAATTTTAAAAAATATAAAATTTTCTGCGCGATTAATTATTAGCTAAAAAATAATCAAATAAATTTATGTAATTATTAAATTATAATGCATAGAGGGTGTCTGAAAAGTTCCAGTACTTTTTTTAAATATTTTTACAGCTAAGAACTGCTACATTGATTAAGAAATCAACATAGTTAACTGGTCAGACACGAGTAACATATTATAGTAGTAATTTACAGCAAATGCAATTTACAACAAATGCTCAAAATTAGCTCCATTTCCAGTAAAACATATACGGAGGCGCTTTGGAAAATTGTTGACAATGGTCGCTCACTGTTCGATGGTAATTTCATGCCATCCGCATCTCAAAGTTCCCTTGAGTCCCTCTACGATATGCTATCCAACTCCTGGTAACATTTTATGGCATCATTGACAATCATTTTTTTGTAACCAGTGGTCCTTACAATTTCAGCTGTCTTCATAGCTAACGTGTGTATTCTATAATAGTAATGCGCTTGTTATCGCGATCCATTTCTAAACTAACAAAAAATAAAGACACAGTTAACAGGTATTACTTGGGGTAAAATTGCATGACGAATGCAAATAATGAAACCAAATT